GCACGCGGGCCGTAGTTTGCCCATGTCAGCCTTAGAGCATCGGCCATTCGATAAACTAAGTTTTGACAAATTTTGATCTGACCCAGATCTTAAGCAAGCCGAATGCGACTTGTGTGTACTGTGTTTTGTATTTTAAGAATATTCATGGACATGTCTTCGCATAGAACACTGGATCAGGTTAACAGTACAAGTCTTGTGCGCTAAAAGCAAACCTACATCTTTATAAAAAAGGCCATTTAAATAAGATTTGGGGTTTTATTGTCTACCTGATGTATAGAAAACTAATACGTCTCTACGGAGTAAGCCATTCATTTGACTTTATATCCATGCCTATTTCTAACTCGTGCAGTTTGGTAAACCATAAACAATTAGTTTTCATAAGAGGAGTCAAAGAATTTTTTGATCGTGCTATATTCTATCACCACTCAGGTATTATCTTATACTTGACCCGCCAATCATTTTCACATATGATTTCTCTGATACTGTTTAAATGGTACTCCCGTAGTGTATGTAGCAGGTTAGAGTCAGGGTATAATTTTATTCCGATTTTTCTTATTTTGAGTTCGGGGACTGTCTGTGTTAGCCAAATTAAGATACCCCCTGCCCATAGGTTCCAGTCTCTTTACACAGTTTGATGTATGATAGGCGAAAAAAAATTAGTTACTTCCATAAGAGTACACACACTTCTGAAGCGCCGCTTATATTACATAAATTTAGGCTGTAGGACAACGCTCCTTATCCTAACCCGAACATAAGATAAACTTAATCGAAAGAAACCAATCACCCAACTAGTATCCGCATTAGATGGTTCCATTACATTTGAACCCACGTACATTTGAACCCATGACGATTGCACCTGTATGCTATTGCACCTATGGAATTTTTTTTTGTTCCACGGATAGTTAAACCCATACTAACCCTAACCCATGGGTTTTAGCACCCGCATATAGATTGATCCCGTGGATATACGCATGGGTTCAAATGTACGTGGATTCAAATGTACGGTCACCGCATTAGATATTAATCAAACAATTTCTTTCACACTTACGTCCAGTATGATGAGGCTTCAGGCAAGTTACTGATTCCACATATCCAAGAATGATCAATGTCGTAACAAACAAGAACCACAGGCGAAGAGTCAGGACTTGAGTCATTTTCAATGTAGTGATATCGTAAAAATATATTCGAAAACGAATCCTAATTCTGTTTGAACTAAAAATACTGATTAGGCAGTGCTCGAACTTTTTAAGCCACGCCTTTTCATTAATTTACCAAGTTTCGCCCCTCTCCTCAAAGATATCTAGCTAATGAAAGTTTCCAAATAATAGAGAGTAAAGCGATTTTTTTTAATAATACGACACGCTGAAAATACGAATACATAATAAATAAATTTAAACACAACCTGTAAATATCCAAAATTAGGCGGGCAAGATCAAACTAACATATATTTTTATTTAATTAGCTTCACGCCTCTTTAAAAATTTGTCTACGCCCCATTGTGCGGCGTGCCTCACCGTTTGAGAACCACTGGGTTAGAGTAAGTTTCAGAAAATGACCCTACAGGAAGTTTTGACGCATATTTCCGTTTTATAACTATAACTGGAACTAGATCAGGTGTTTTTGCAATGGGCCACTGATACCAGAAAACTATTTTGCTAAGACTTTCTATTTATAATAGCTTACTCAATATCTTACACCTTAGGTAAAGGGGAATCGACATGCAGTTAGAAATTAAGATCTTCATAACATAACACTAACAGAATTTGATCTAGCTTTCATTGAAGTTCAATTTTGCAAACTGATGAAACCACCCAAAGTGTCGGCAGATAAACGCTTTGTGTGCTGTGAAATCACGAAAAATTAATTGAAATACGGTCTAAACTCTGAAGGTATGCACGATACCATAAACATACACAAACATCGCTGTACTATTCACTGCATAAGAAAACCCGAAGCGATTTGAGAGAAATATGCTTTTAATATGCCAAGTGAACAATGCAAGTCGATTGAATATTTTATGTATGTGAGAGCTGTAAATGATTTTATCTAATTTAAATATTTTATGGGTTTGCGGAAATTAAATTTCACGAGCCATAACCTAAAACAAACAGTCTTTCAAGTGAGTGCTGTAACGCTAAAAGATAAAGATCGATTCTAAGAAGTAAAGTATGCTTGAAACGAGGAGCATTTCAAGTGAAGTCTGCCAGGAATAAAGTTCTGTTATATTAGTTATACAGAGTGGGCCAAAACAATGGTACCATTCTTTACAATAGAAAGATCTCTGTATTTCTAACATAAGGTTTGTTATAAAGTGCAGTTTCTTTTTGCCAGTGCTTTCTAGAGTTTCAAGGTGTTCTATTTGCGGAGGATGGCTGACCTTCAAACCACTTAGCTTGTTGGACACGTAGTGAACCTTGGAATCTCTTCTGTTATTAGGTTGTTGTTGTTTTTCTATTAAAAAAAAATTGCTTTTTTCTTTAACTACTGGACCAATTGCTTTGAAATTTTCAGTGGTTAAAGATTGTATATTTTGCTAGAAGAATGTATTTATCTTTCCTTGTTCATATATTCGAACGTATCATAACATAAATTGTTATTTTTTAAAACAGTTGCCTTGGAGTAAATGTATAATATCGTAAATATTTGTACTTGGCCTTACTTTGCGAAATCACAAAAAACTTTCATTTAGATAAAATTGCAAAATATTTATATGGAAAACATTTAATATCATCTTATCGGATACTCAAAAAAAATTGAAGATTGAATATTTCTTTTGTAGGTAATCACAGAGGTAAAAAATAGAATTTTTCATAAAGATTTCTTGATTTTTTAAGGAAACTTGCATTTCAATAAAATTCTCGATGTGAACTGTTGTGATTTTGTTCCATTAGGATAGTATTCCAGGATATCACACCAGTAAAATGGAGGTCAGATTTGTTGCTGTATCAAGTTGCCCATAAAGACATCAATTCCACTGTTTATATGTGGTGCTTCATCCAAACATGAAGTGTTTGAAGGGTGTCAAGTTGAATCGACTGGAGTTAGACTCATAACTTAAGTCGAATAGTCCGTACGACAGTCATGGAATAACTACCCTTCAATTTTGTATTTAATCAACTCAGTTTGTTATGATTACCCCGCATGTCGTGTATCGAGTCGTTTTTCTCCTTTAAGAAGAGTAACACCGGGATATCGGGTCGCTTTAATGTATCTCAAATTCCTGCTTTTTTTAGTATTCTATGTTCGACCTATTTCCTCTTTATAATTTATTGTTAGACTCCATCTAATGTGACGCTACTCGATAACAATCAATGGTTTTTCGCGTATCCCTTCTCACTAAAATGCATTTTTTTTCAATCTTTTTTAATTATGTTTATACAATGCGTACTTTCAGCATGTGAAAAAATGCACTACTGACTGACTGACCGACTTAAAGTAAATAGAATAACTTGCACACGTCATCACTTAAACTCCATAGTGACTCCACTCAGTGATTGACTCGATTTCTTACTCGCCTCGAGTTTCAGTTTACCCGTGACTCGTCCATTACTCTAGACTCGGGGTCTAGAGACTTCCACTCAGTATCTAATAGAATGAGACGCAAGGACAGAAACCACAGTTTTTGTTCAGCATGATATTAAGATATAGATTCTAAATTTATAAGTTTATATTTATAGACGTTTTCTCGGAGATTGAACGTTTCCTCGACCCACAAGGTCACGAAAACAAGGCAATGTTTAAAACAATGCTTGTAAATCGGTCCGAGCGAAAGAAAAGGATCTGAGCGTCTGCATGAATTGCAATTGTTACGTCATTGTTGACTTATTGCTGATTGGTCATTGTTACAGTATTGATAGCAGAGTGCTCTCCATTAAATGTATATAATTTTATATTTGCGACAGAAGGTGTCAGTAGATAGCCGTTGACAGCGACTGAACACACACTGTTAAAAATAGTTAGTTGGAAGTGATTAATTTCTGATTCCTCAAAATACACATTGTAGTGAAAAAATAATAAGTGATAAAATTTAATCGAAAGGGAGGGGCAATGTTTCAAAGTCAAAAAGGTCTAACGACCCCTAGAAAATTTCAGTAAGAAAAAATAATATAATGACATCTAGATTGATTTTTCAAGTTTGCACATTTTAGATGTGTTGGTTTAGGTTTTACATTTATTGTTCTACTTCACATGAGAGAAGTTGTTATTTGATTACGTTTTATTGACGCCGTAAGTTGGCAACATTTCCGGCACTTCCAGATTAGAGTTGAGTAAGTAAAAAAAATCCACTTTGCTTTTGCGTCGTTAAAAGGGTATTTTACTATATTTGACTCATGGTAGTGGAGTATTTGCGCTATGTAATTACCCCGCTAATCTTGACTTAATTATATTTTATTTTCACAAAATTTGCAGATTTTCAGTAATTTCGGATTGAATGGGATAGATATATATTGTAAATGACGCTAGTCTTCAAAATATGAAACGGATTTGGTTTGGAAAATATGGAATAAAGAACTGCATCAAACTAAATACTATTTTAATAAAATCAACTGCATATATTTTATCATTTTTCAATCAGAGAGCGTGATCTGATATAATTTATAAAATAAATGGCTTAGACCTTAGAACCGTACTCTGAAATAGGTTCGATTCCATTGCAATTTAATTTTACCCGTTCTCTGCCCAAACACAAACTCAGCTTTTATAATTCGGATCAATTTACAATCGAATGTTTTGTATAATCTAAAATGCAGATTACATTTCAAACACTCCTATTTTCTACCGATGATTTTTCTATAGAACTGTCACAATTATCACTTTTCAAACAATTCAAGTTAGTTATTCAACACGAAAACAGGTTTTTCACACTAAATTTATTCTGTTTGTGTTACGGTAAATCAAATTTTGCTCAAATGTGTTATTTTGCTTGCCGAAGTAAGACAATAAAATGACCTTTTTCCCAACTCAACTCCCTATCCCCGGAAAAATCTCGGAAACATTTCTTTATTTACCTGCACAAAGCATGTTTTGATATTAACATTCTGAAAGTAGCACGGTAAATATAAATGAAAATTCATTTTGTGATAAATCTACAAATATTCAACAAAAAGTAAGCAACTTGGCAATAAATTCAACAAAATAAAGAAACAAAGAAAAAGTTCAGTAAGCTTTTATTTTGGCAGAAGAAAAAGTATTAATTTGCAGTTGGATACATTCTGCTCTTTGCGTGAATTGCAAGTAAACGTAGTTTCATGTTTTACAGCAAAGCTGAATCTACATTCGTAGCTCACAGGATCCCGAAACCAAGACCTGAAAAATAAAATGTGTAAATTTAACTATTATTCCACTGCAATTAATTTTTAACAATTCAAACCTGTCGTCAATGTGAACAACACGAACTGCATCACATATTAAATGATTCGCGTACCAGACCAAGGTCTCACATAATTGAGCCCAGGTCCCTATAATAGGGGGCCATGAAGTGGATCCTAGAGGAGCAGGGAAAAAGTCTTTGGCTAGATGTCATTGACAATGACTGCATTATTTTAAGTAAATTGACTGGGGCTTATTTCATTCTTCGACTGCAATAAATTCATTCTTACTTTCATGTGTTGGCTTTATTATCATTATTTGTAGAGCCGCGTTGAAAGCAAAATTAGTTATTTTCATAGAAGACCAGAAATACAAGTCTTTGAAAGGGGTCAGTGGAAAAATTTGGAGACATAGGCACAAACATAGACATAAAGCAAGTGCAACGAATCACCCATCAATCAAGTTGTATTAAATTTCGTAAAAAAGCCGAAACCTTCAAGAATCGAGTTCATCTTCTCGGCGTATTAGTAGTCGCCTGCAAGTTTTCTTTTAAAAGTTTCCAAATTGAATTTCGTGACTCACCGACTCTATTACTTTTCTTTCCTGATGACGCAATTGATGACGCAGTTTTTTTCGTCATTGTCAATATAAATCCAAGCAGTAATATTTTCAAAACAGTTATAATAGTGACGGTTGTTTCTCTCTTCTGCATATTGGGCCCGGTGTTTGCTTTGCTCATTATATGAAAGAAGAATCTAGTTTCGACCACGTTTTGATCTTTTCTGATTGGTTAAGATACCGGAACTTCTGGAATCAACGTATCAAATGCCAATCAATGTATGAAGTTCACTCTGTGTGAAAATATTCTAATATAAGGCTAATTACTTGTATCTAGGCATGAAAAATAAAAATAATTCAATGAAACATTTGTCTAACACACTTATTTTGGACCGTCCTATGTTTTCAACACTTTTTATTAAAAGGCTTTTGAGAACTATGTCTCACATTTAGAAACTAAAATTCTCCCAATATTTTAAGCAGATATGCTAATACAATGAACAACACAAGACAATTCCGTCAAACTACAGCAAATAAAACGTAAACAATGAGACTCCCATACAAAAAGGGTTACCAAACTAACACCATCATCAGAATACATTGGCAACATAGAGAAACACCATATTGACTACATCACCTCAAAACAAGTCATATATTTGACCCGTGATCACTGACCCATAGTGAGGGACATGTCAAACTTTTCTGCTGCCCGGGGCGAATTTCTGATAATGATGACTCTTATACCAAACTTCAAAAATAATTTGGGGGATGAACAAAGTATAGATTTTGTTATATACGAAATTAAATAAATAAATTAAATATCAAGTGAGAGTGGAATATTTGTTTTATTATTATTCAAATCATCAAACTAAGCTACAAACTCACCCCTATAAGTGCTGCCTCGAAAGGTTGCCTCCATGCCCCTTCATTCCCCTGCCCATAGTGAGCTCAGAAATCAAATAGTTGACTCGTAATCACTGTTGTAAGCGATTGGGCTAAACCTACCGCTATACAAATTGGGCCAGAAATTACAATCATATTAAAATGCAGTGAATGTGCACTATACTCGAAGACCAGATAAAATGAATTACAGCACACAAATATATGGCCCTTGCTTACTGTGACAATCAATACAGTACTACTTAATTTTATTCATTCTCTTTACACTATCAGGTTTCAATTACTAATCAATCAATTTTAATCAATTATATTATGGGAATCAGGTGACAGATGAAATTGCAACTAATTTGAAAACCGATTGGTGCAAATAGATGTAAAAAGGTCTTTTCATGCTGCAATTACAGAATACGCCGCGTCATTATTTGTAGAGTAGCATCTCAAGTGTGAGGCTATCTCGGAAATTAAAGTCTAATGCTAATACTCCACTTTTATCCTAAAAGTTGAACTAACCTAACAAATTAAACGAAGTTTATATATTTGAGGACAATTATTCACTTGTTCATGTTATACATCGTCCAGTTCAGGCCTAAATGGCGCAATTCCCCATTCTCCATTAAATTATACTTCTGAATGCTTATAATACGAAGCAATAGTACGACCCTCTATTTTGAGGCTTTGGTAGCTATTGACCGTGGGTCTTAGCGACGCCCTGGAACTGGACAAGCTTAATTTTTAAGCGTGAACGCTAAGCACCCGACGCATGTACTGAACCAAATTGTTATTTAAAGTTGTCTTCAATAGTTTAATTCTACTCAAATAATAAATGTTGAACTAAACTAATAGGTTGATTAATGTTGATATTTTTAAAGTGTTGCAGCTTTTTATTATCTAGAGATGGCAATTTTCAATGGTTTAATGTTTTCTTTAGTCAGATCGGGCTTATACATCGCATTATACAATTCCCCATCTCAAGAAAACTTCTTTCCCAACAATGTATAGGTAAAATGATTCCAAGAATAGTTTCAAGTATTCAAAAAAAAAACGATAAAGGCAAATTATACTTTTCAATGATAAATACAAACTCACTAATAAGCGCTGTGATGGTGGTCTAAGTGCATCACGCATAAGATTTTCGCGGGTTTAGTTTTTAAACGTGAAAATCAGGCGCCCAACGCATGCTCAAAACCAAATTGTTATTTGAGGCAAGATCATTTTGGTAAAATAACTCGATAAAAAACAACAAGAGAGATGGTCGAATATATGGACACGCAGTACAAAACGTATCGTAAAACTTCACGAATAACGCCAGCACGCCACCAGGTGCGCGATTTTTGGTCGATTGCACATAAAAAACGAATACTCGATAGAAAGTTTTGAAATTGATAGCCTTATAGCGAAAAATACAATCTCCATCCACTGAAAATTTTAAAGCAATCGAACCAGTAGTGGATGAGGAAAGCGATTTTTTCACATCGAGAAAAAGAAAAAAGGAAACACTAACATGATGATTAACAACAACAAAATAACAAAACGACCCATAGGTCAACTTCGTGTCAAATAATAAGCTAATATTCTATTATTGCTGCACCACGATTTTTTGAACTGTTATCTTAAGTATGTTCATCTAAGGTCAGGGTATTGCCTCACCCTGTTTATCTAACTGATAGACTAATAAACTAATACTAAAGTTATTCGGACCTAACATATAAGGTAAATATGCAAAAGTGTGAAGTTTTGAGGAAAAAACCCCTGCCACGTTTCAAAATAACTACTTATTATCCAGTTGGGGTTAGAATTAGGGATTTACAAATTGGAATTTCCAGCGCAATATGCATTCTTAACCTTAACTGGATAATTGCTGATTTTTTTATTTTGAGCATTGGCGGGGTGATTTTTTGTCGGTGGGTCTGTACAAAAAATCAAGGGCAATACCCTCTTTGTATTGGAATATTTAATATTCTTTGAAATAAGGCAAATTTCCTTCAAATAAATTGACCACTGACCGCTTCAAAATAAACATTTTTTTTTATTTCAACTTAAAATTGAATACGTACTGAAACGTCTGCCTAACTTACAAATCCACCCGCATCCGTTACCAGCATTGTTCACTGTTGATGCGTTTTATTACGCAGTTGCTGGTTTCGGTATAACCCTGACATGGCAAACAATTGGCCCGCGGGCATAAGTCGGCCCGTTGGATGTTTTAATCTGGCCCGCATGATGTTGCCACAACCAAATAAAACCAAATTTTGATGTTTTACATAGAAAATAAAATTCAATGAATTTGTTGAGATTGTAGATTAATTTTACTTTTGGCACGAGGCTTATTGTTATTCACTTTCTCGTTTGTACTACTCAAAATATTGTTCGTAAAATGTAACTTTTTACATCACACTTATATGGCCCGCCAGTCTAGGTGGGCTAAATTTTCAGCTACTGGTTCAAAAACTTTGGCCAGCCCTGGTATAACCCTATTAGCCCACAGAAATACAGAATACTAATTCCTATGAGACACAGTTAGTCACAGATACATCGCGAACGGAAACTGATTAATGCCAAGGTACGACCCGCGGTCTCTGAAGTCAACTGTACTGGCTCTGTTTATTCTATAACATATCAAACCTAACCTGATGGATAGTAACCTAACCTTATAGATGAACAAAATCAACAGGGGCGGTACAAAAGTTGACGAAGAAAATTTAAAATTTTTGAAAGTGACCATATTTTGTGCGAACACGCTGACCTGTAATTAATTTAATGCAATTTATATTTTCATTTGTTACCTAAAACAGAATCCGATCTATCCAGTTATTGCCGACAATTTTTTGACTTGTTTTAGTTCATTTTGTTTAACTCAAATTAGGTGCGAATAAGTAATACAGGGTGGTCACTAGAAAAACAGAAAACTAGTAAAACGGCTATTAAAAAGTAAAAGTAAAAGGCATTTGTTATATTACACTTCTAGATGCTCAAAATGTCGTCCGTGCACTACAGAGAAGTGTCTCAACCTAGGAGTCCTAGCTCGTGTAGCGCTTGGAATGTTAACTTGTGGGAAATCGTTCCAATTCAACCTATATCTATATGCACTTTATTATACATAATATTTGGAAAAAGTCGAATATAAGTCCGCGCTGACGACACTGTATACGTACTTGCAATCCATTACACAGTTACGGCTTCAGCATAATCCTATTAGCTTACAGAATTTTTATACTAATTCCTACGAGACACAGATATACCATACGCAGCGCGAATAGAAACTCAATTATGCCAAGGTATTACCCACACTCTTTCACGTCAACTCATAAACTAATGGAATAGCTGGCTCTCGATTTGTTTTTATGCGCGGTGAGCGATGCGTCATCGTGTCGGGACGCGAGTTAACTCGACAAAGCGGACGGAATAATATTACTTCGTACCATGCTTGATTTTGCCATGAATAGTAGATACGTAGTTAGGCTTGAGAAAACGAATATTCCTATTTTCGCACGTTTTAATAAATTTAAAGTATTATATAAATTGATAAAATAGTTAATAAATGTAAAGTATTATATAAATTTAAAAAATAGGTAATCAATTTATAGTTTCCCACGCCAAACAGGTAATATCAGTTTAGTGCTTTATTGGCTTGAATAAACAACGTACCGCTTTGCCTTCCCGGTGCTATACTAGCAAGCCTCACCCCACGCTTCCATGAATTTTTTATATAAATTTATACAAGATAGTTTTGAATACTTTTCGAGTCATTATGAAAGATTATCGAGCCAGTGAAAAAATAGTTCGCGACTTTGTTATTTTGTTTAATTAAATACGTTATGCAGGCCATGCTACATTGGTTGCTAGGTGCTTTTGGCGTTTTTTCTTGTGCGATCCAATGAATAAACATAATATTAATTATCTTATTTGCACACTTGGTTGTGCCATGGATGGCTGAACCCTTGTAGATTAGATGAAATCAGCTAAGGTTTACTATTCTAAATTGTTCGTCGTGTGCTTCTCGCGTATCTCACAGCACGATTCCGTAATATATGAATTGAAGGATCATAATAAGACTCCCCAGTCGCGTAGTTTTTTGTTTTGTTATGTGGGAGGATCTTAATATGATCCAAATTGTAATTTTATCTTACAAGGCCAGTAGCCAATGGGACGTGAGAGACATGATAGAATGCCATTGTTGTTGAGGCACTCTAGTCGTTTTGGCCCGGTTCTTTGTCTCTTCACATAACAATGCATGTTTGTACAAAAATCTGATGCGTATAAATAGCGGCCTATACCCTATAGAATAAAATAAAACAAAAATTTGAAATCTAGTAGGCGGCCTAATTCGGCAACAATTTCAATTCATGTATACGCGAAAGTGCAACGTAACATGTCGCCAAAATTTTGTCAGTTTCACGCTTCAAATACATTATTTTTGATATTTTTACCTTCAAACTGTGTTAGGTATGCTTAC